CCCGCCTGCTGCGGTACTCGTGCGTGCTGCTGAGAGCGAGTCAGCAACTGGCTGCTGGTGGGGCGAGCCGGCGGCTGTCATGTTGGCGCCTGTTGCTGTGCCAGCTGCCACTGCTGTTAGATCAACAGCACGAGGAGGAGCAGCAGTAGCAGCAGCAGCCGCTTGCGTAGAAGTCTGCTCGGGTTGAAAGAACGAGGTGATCTGTGGCGCCTGTGCTGCTGCGGTCGAAGCAGTCGTGGGAGAAGCAGATGTACTTGCGGCGGCATTCTGCTCTTCCCGCACGTTCATGTTCTCTGAGGTCTCCATGTCTCCCCCCGTACGGTACAAGCTGTGCGTGTGTGATGCTGTTTCACCCCCGGTGATAGAGACAGGGAATGTATGCGGCGTAACCTGTGTTATCACCGGGGTGTGGTATCTTGTGTACCCCAGGTGATAAATCATGGTCTGAAAAATACACCCAAAATTACCACCGGTGTGTGGTATTGTGGGGGGGGGGGTGGTATCTTATGAGGGTGTGGTATCTTGTGTAGAATACGGTATTCTGCTGCTGCTGGATTATGAAAAGCGGAGATTAGGAAAAGGAACGTTCCCCATCTTCCTTCTACCATAAAGATCCACGAAATATAGGAAAGTCGTGCACAGCTCTTCACTCCCTTTTCTGTCACGTGTCCGAGACAGGAAAACCAGAGGAAAGAGGATATCCTTTGAGACGCTCAGTCCACCGCTCCCACACCCCGCTCGTTAGCCCGATCGGTGCGTGTGACCTTTCGTCTCCTGCAAGATTCGTTTTCCCCTGTTTTTGGCGCTCTCTCCTTGAATCATGAGCGCTATCGCCGGGTTTGACCCTGCCGTGTTGGAAGTCCCCACCGAGTACGACGAGTTCCTCGACATCTTCGCCAAGGTGGCCACGCCGGGCGGCATCCGGACCATCAACCTCCACTGCATCGGCGCCCTTCCGCACGGGCGTCCGCTGGAGGGCGCGTCTCTCGACGGCGTGTCGGCGCTTTTCCTCGCCCTCACGCAGGCGGGTGACGCAGCCACGCCCCCCGAGATTTTCAAGGTCGGCCTGGCCGCTCGTGCCGCAGGAGTGTCCGACGAGGACAACGACGCCCGCGTGAAGCGGGCCCTCGTCCNTGGTGCAGAACCCTCTCAGCTCAGGTCGCACGAAATACATCGACGTGCGGTTTCATTTCATCCGCGGATTATTCAGGTCGGGGGATATTTCGGTCAAGTTTGTCCCGACAACGGCGCAACACGCGGACCTCCTCACCAAGGCCCTTAGCAGGGCCAGTCTGCAGTATCACCGGCACAAGCTGATGAATTTGCCGGAGTAGCTGTAGCAGTTTCTAGCACTTGGGAGAGGCCATGTTTTCCATGCGGGGGAAGGCGCACAACTGTTGCGGTCTGTGTACCAATGGCAGGAGTAGGGGGCGTTGGGAGACCATCGTCCGGGGGAACGTAGTTCCTCGCGTTCTTGTCTTCGCCTTAGCCTATCTAATTAGTGCGGCCGTTGTGATCCGCTGTGATAGCGACGGTTTTTGTGGTGGTAGGGTTTCTTTTTTTTTAGGGGGTTTGCCCGGACGCCGGGTTTCCCCCCCATATATTACCATGTTGGGATTATGAAAAGCGGAGATTAGGAAAAGGAACGTTCCCCATCTTCCTTCTACCATAAAGATCCACGGAATATAGGAAAGTCGTGCACAGCTCTTCACTCCCTTTTCTGTCACGTGTCCGAGACAGGAAAACCAGAGGAAAGAGGATATCCTTTGAGACGCTCAGTCCACCGCTCCCACACCCCGCTCGTTAGCCCGATCGGTGCGTGGGACCTTTCGTCTCCTGCAAGATTCGTTTTCCCCTGTTTTTTGGCGCTCTCTCCTTGAATCATGAGCGCTATCGCCGGGTTTGACCCTGCCGTGTTGGAAGTCCCCACCGAGTACGACGAGTTCCTCGACATCTTCGCCAAGGCGGCCACGCCGGGCGGCATCCGGGCCATCAACCTCCACTGCATCGGCGCCCTTCCGCACGGGCGTCCGCTGGAGGGCGCGTCTCTCGACGGCGTGTCGGCGCTTTTCCTCGCCCTCACGCAGGCGGGTGACGCAGCCACGCCCCCCGAGATTTTCAAGGTCGGCCTGGCCGCTCGTGCCGCAGGAGTGTCCGACGAGGACAACGACGCCCGCGTGAAGCGGGCCCTCGTCCAGGCACTGGTATCGTACCTGTGGCGATGCACGGACCATGGCGGTCTGAAAATGTCCACGGGAGGCGCATACCTCCCGGCCGACCCGGCCACGTCAGGCCCTCCCGCAGCTGCCGCGTCCGCCAAGGAGGCCCCGCCCATCGCGCACCCTGACATCGCCGGCACCAAGCGCCTTCTGGACGAGATCTCCCGGGGAAGGAACGGTTGGGATGCGGCGAGCGCGAGCTCACCTAGCGAGGCGGGAGCGGGCGAACCTAGCCTCAAGCAGTCGCTAATCTACGTCAGCGTCTCGGCCAAGGTGAGTCCTTTGTTGTGCGTTTGATTTTTGCTCTTTTCGGCGACCCACCTGCGATTACGGCAACCACCACTTTTTCGTTTCTCGTGACGGCTGTAATCGTTTTCCATTTTTCTCGACCCGCTTTCCCTCCGGTTTCTTACACATTTCGAGGTTCCAAACGACAGTCTCGGGCTACCCATGCCCTCTCTCATTCCTTCCCCTCTCTTCTTCGCTCATCCGGGTTTTCTCTCACACTTGCCGAACGCCCTTTTTCGCGGCCACCCGTTTTTCCGGGCTCAGATCTCTCTGTTTTCTGCTCGCGTTCCGGTCTTTTTAGTTTTTTGTCCGCACCTCCGTATTCCATATCATTTGTACATAAATTAGGTGTCACGTGAATATTATATGCGGTTTCCTTTGAGACGTGGGTCGCCCCCGATTTGGTTCTTGAACATGAATTTCGCGTTCCCAAGCATACAGCAGTAGTACATCGTTCATTTTCCCCCACACACTGCTGTGTACTCGATCTAGTACCTCTATGCTTTTCATTCATGTTTGTCTGGGCCTATAATGAATATATACACTTTTGTTTTGTTTTTTGTTTCATAATATTATATGTCCATTAATATGTATGCAATATAGTCCGATATATATATATATATATCTACGTTCGCGCGGAACGTGTTGCGCTGCTTATATTCATGTATACTCCAGTATAAAATATATACTCCTGTAGAATATATGTACATATATATATTCGTTCGCGGGGAACGTTTTTCTGCAGCTTCTCTTTTCGGCTTTCCTGCTTCACACGACCCTTATCAAACCACCGAGGCTGTACAGCCCACTGCTATGAGCTTTGGCAGAGCACAGTAATCTAGCATACAGCCTCGAAGGTTTCATCGCAAACGGGTCTCTATGAGGCGAGTACTGATCGACAAAGCGCGTTAGTGTGCTTTTTCCAACCAAGTGCGCGGAACTCCTGCTGCTGCATGAGGGTTGGGACGTAAAAGGCGTAATTTCGGGATTCGCAGTCGGGAATCCTTTCCATAATAACTGGCCTTATCTCGGCTTATTCCTTTATCTGCCCCTTCAAATATCTTTTTCAGCCCGCCCATATTTTCCATGATCATACCCCCTTTTCTCTCGGAATATTT